ATATGTTTTTAAGTGAGAAAATACACCTGAAAACTTAATCAGTGCAGTCAGTTCATCCAGATTACAATCCTGCCTCCCAATGTTATTTCTGTCGGAGCCGCTCAGACCCCCACATACCGGCGGTGCGCCGACAGTAGGAATCCCTTCAACAGCAGCCTCTGGGCGGGTCGCCTCCTCGCGGTTCACCGCGGCAGCTGGTAGGTGTTTTTCATCAAAAAAATCCGATCTGCAGGCACCAGAATAATAAAAGCCAACATATTCTGTCGGCAGGTTTCTGCATTTTAAGTTAATTTAGGCGTCAATAAACTGTTTCAGAGGAGCGATCACAGCGCTCTGTATCATCAGCGATGTGTCTCTCTCCCTGCCAGCTCCCAGATCAGCTTCTCTGATTGGTTGATGCGGCGCGTCGAGTAGCAAAAGTAAAATTTTTCGATCTCGAGCAGCAGCGCTTTTGCGCTCAGACGCGCTGCGCCTGCTGCTCAAAACGCGCTGCGGGACCTTTTGCTGCGCCTTGACGCGCGTTAACCATTGACTTTGCGTGTAAACTCGCTGCTTCTGCCACGCCTGCTGCGAACGTAGCATTAGAGTCGACTGAAGTGCAGCAGGTAGTCGAAACAGGGAGCCAGAGCGACCGAACCCGACCCGGTGACGGTAGCCTGGACAACGGCGGCCCAGTACCGATCTGAGCAAGGCATGTCAATCATTACCATTCATTGTAACCAACTTGCAAGATTTGCTAACATTTCGCTCTAAAAGTGTGAAAAAAGCAGTAATGTAACAGAAAGACTTCCAGTTGGAGATGCAGTAAAAGGTGATAGAGTCTCAGAAGGCCTAAACACAGACAACAGTCTACATTTTATTTGTAAAAAATGTTAAACGTTTCCTTTTCCCCTATTGCTTCATAATGTTTGCCCAATGAAATGAGATCTGAAGTCCTGGCTCGTTACACAAGGCACAGTTAGTTCCAACACCGCCGGCCATTGGCTGCCAAAATGTTTTGCATTTTCAGAGGCATCAGGCTGCTGAGCCCCTCAGAGTGTGAGCTCTATCCCCTCAGCACAACTTCCAGATCAACAGCAGCTTGAAAAGTGTTTGGTTCTAATTATGACATGCAGCCTGCAGGTTTAAATCACTGAAATTTGAAGCACTGCAGACTTTTAGCTTCTGCTAACGTCATTTAATCCTTATCCACCAGTATAAAAGTAGCAGGGTTTCTGTTAATCCTCATGTTTTTGTCACAGGCCAGCAGCCAAGGTAGTAAATGCCGCATAACTCCATAACAGGTAAACTATAAACACATTTTGTTCCATTAACACCGTATATCAGAATCATCCCTGCCTGAATGTGTAGGGTTAGTTACTCTCAAGCCGAAATGAGGATTTGGATCCTTAAAAGTTCACGTTTACTCAATGATTGAGCACGGGGTGGCACCAGTAAGAACTGCTAACTTGCATTTTTTTTTTTCAGACTCCTACAGCTGAATCACCACCGCGCTGCATGCAAGGCACAGAAATACCAGCCACTCATATTGCACAGCTGAGGCATGCTTCCTGAAAGCTGACTGTGGGGAAAGTACCACGGGATGCAGGACGGTATCACTGGCAAAGAAGCTGGAAGCCAACTTTAATGACTTTTACACACTACTTTACGGTTCTGATTGTGCAAACCCATCCTGCTGTATCTGATATTTTAGCCTTTTGAATGTTTAGAAGAAAAGTTCCAGTGTTTTTTTTTTTTGCTAAAAAATCTGTTGTCTTTTCTACCTGAGATTATAACTGTCCAGTATGATTGTCTCAGTGCTTTGAAGACAGTCCAGGCTGTCTTTTTCAGTATTATACTTACAAAATGCACCCAAAATAAAAATAAATAAGTATAGCACAAAATATATAGGTGTAAATAGATAAGATGAGGGAACTTCCTGGATTTTATTTCTCATCTTTTCTTCATCCATGAGATTTTCAGCAATCTGACCCGATAATCTGACTGAATTGTTTCTGTAAAGTACCTTTAGGGAAATTTAGATGTGAACCTGTGTTATATCAATAAACTCAATTGAATCAAAATTTACATTTATTAAAATGCTTCATTAAAAAAAAGACAATTAATATTTAATGTCATAATTTTAAAGGTATTCCTAATTATCTATTAGCACATTTAATAATTCAATTTTACATTTCATCGTATAATGGTACATATAATTATTCAATGATGTATTAGATAAACTAAGTTTTATATTTAATAATTTTATGGTACGTTAATTTATTTTGTTTTACAATTTTTTATGCTAATTTTTTTTATTTCATTAAATATTTACACCTATTTATTTCATGCGTTATTTACTGTGTTTATTCAGTTTTAAGCTGTTTATTGTATACAAGCCTGTATAGCCAAAAACATCACTATTTTATTATTCATCTTGTAAAAATGTATGTATACTATT